GAGGTCGCGCTGAGTTGGGGCCGCCTGGGGCAGAGCAGCTGGGGTGCTGCCGGGTTGGTCCAGTAGCGCCGAGGAGCGGTGCTGTGGGACCAACCGGCAGCGCCTCACCTGCTCTACCACAGGCCTCGGGCTTTGCTCCACGGCTCCCTGGTCTGCTGGGGGGGGAGGACCGGGGGCCGGACCCGCAGCCGCTTCCAGATCAGCTTCCAGACCAGGGAGATGCTGAGCAAAGCGGTGGAGGACCCGGGTCCGGACCCACGGTGCTTCCAGCTGATCTGGAAGCGGCCGCGGGTCCGGCCCCGGGTCCTCCGCCGCTTTGCTCCCCGTCTCCCTGGTTTGCTGGCTCCCCCAGCAGACCAGGGAGACGGGGAGCAGCTTTTCTCGCCCCGGAGGAGGCGGGCGGCGGGACCAGGCGTCCCGCAGCTCCAGTCCTCCGGGGCGAGAAAATCCCCGTTCGTAACTGCGGATCCGACGTAAGTCGGAGCCGCGTAACTCGGGGACTGCCTGTAGTGGGGGACCAAGACCTGGACACAATACTCCAGATGTGGCCTCACTAGAGTCGAATAAAGGGGAATAATCCCTTCTCTGGATCTGCTGGCAACGCTCCTCCTAATGCCCCCCGATATGTCGTTATCCTTCTTGGCTACAAGAGCGCCCTGTTGGCTCATCTCCAGCTTTTCATCCACTTTATCCCCGGGGCCTTTTCTGCCAAACTGCTCCTTAGCCCGTCGGTCCCCAGCCTGTAGCAATGTTTGGGATTCTTCCGGCCCAAGGGCAGGACTCTGCACTCGTCCTCCCTGAACTTTCTTTTCTGTTTTTCCTCTTCCTTTTTTTTCTTTCTAGATCATTCTACTGTTTTGCTTTCTCTTTCTTTTCTTGCTGGCTTGTTTTCTGGCTGTCTCTCTCTCTCTCTCTCTCTCCCTGCACGTCTTTCCTTCTGTGTCCTCTCTCTGCATTTTCTCTTTCTTTCTTTCTTTCTTTCTTTCTTTCTTTCTTTCTTTCTTTCTTTCTTTCTTTCTTTCTTTCTTTCTTTCTTTCTTTCTTTCTTTCTTTCTTTCTTTCTTTCTTTCTTTCTTTCTTTCTTTCTTTCTTTCTTTCTTTCTTTCTTTCTTTCTTTCTTTCTTTCTTTCTTTCTTTCTTTCTTTCTTTCTTTCTTTCTTTCTTTCTTTCTTTCTTTCTTTCTTTCTTTCTTTCTTTCTTTCTTTCTTTCTTTCTTTCTTTCTTTCTTTCTTTCTTTCTTTCTTTCTTTCTTTCTTTCTTTCTTTCTTTCTTTCTTTCTTTCTTTCTTTCTTTCTTTCTTTCTTTCTTTCTTTCTTTCTTTCTTTCTTTCTTTCTTTCTTTCTTTCTTTCTTTCTTTCTTTCTTTCTTTCTTTCTTTCTTTCTTTCTTTCTTTCTTTCTTTCTTTCTTTCTTTCTTTCTTTCTTTCTTTCTTTCTTTCTTTCTTTCTTTCTTTCTTTCTTTCTTTCTTTCTTTCTTTCTTTCTTTCTTTCTTTCTTTCTTTCTTTCTTTCTTTCTTTCTTTCTTTCTTTCTTTCTTTCTTTCTTTCTTTCTTTCTTTCTTTCTTTCTTTCTTTCTTTCTTTCTTTCTTTCTTTCTTTCTTTCTTTCTTTCTTTCTTTCTTTCTTTCTTTCTTTCTTTCTTTCTTTCTTTCTTTCTTTCTTTCTTTCTTTCTTTCTTTCTTTCTTTCTTTCTTTCTTTCTTTCTTTCTTTCTTTCTTTCTTTCTTTCTTTCTTTCTTTCTTTCTTTCTTTCTTTCTTTCTTTCTTTCTTTCTTTCTTTCTTTCTTTCTTTCTTTCTTTCTTTCTTTCTTTCTTTCTTTCTTTCTTTCTTTCTTTCTTTCTTTCTTTCTTTCTTTCTTTCTTTCTTTCTTTCTTTCTTTCTTTCTTTCTTTCTTTCTTTCTTTCTTTCTTTCTTTCTTTCTTTCTTTCTTTCTTTCTTTCTTTCTTTCTTTCTTTCTTTCTTTCTTTCTTTCTTTCTTTCTTTCTTTCTTTCTTTCTTTCTTTCTTTCTTTCTTTCTTTCTTTCTTTCTTTCTTTCTTTCTTTCTTTCTTTCTTTCTTTCTTTCTTTCTTTCTTTCTTTCTTTCTTTCTTTCTTTCTTTCTTTCTTTCTTTCTTTCTTTCTTTCTTTCTTTCTTTCTTTCTTTCTTTCTTTCTTTCTTTCTTTCTTTCTTTCTTTCTTTCTTTCTTTCTTTCTTTCTTTCTTTCTTTCTTTCTTTCTTTCTTTCTTTCTTTCTTTCTTTCTTTCTTTCTTTCTTTCTTTCTTTCTTTCTTTCTTTCTTTCTTTCTTTCTTTCTTTCTTTCTTTCTTTCTTTCTTTCTTTCTTTCTTTCTTTCTTTCTTTCTTTCTTTCTTTCTTTCTTTCTCTTTCCACTTTTTAGCCTTTTTCTTTCTTTCTTTCTCTTTCCACTTTTTAGCCTTTTTCTTTCTTTCTTTCTTTCTTTCTTTCACACCTGAGCTGCACTATCCCATGGTCCACGCCCCCTCTCCCCTCTCTCCCCACCTTTTTCCTCGCATCCCTAACTCCCAGCATACTTGTCCTCCCCTTCCTCCCAGCCCAGAACCATCACTCATCCTCTCTTTTCTCTTTCAGCCACTCTTCAGCTTCTGCCCCGGCTGGTGCTCCTTCAAGGTAATGTGGACTTCTGAGCCAGCTACAATAATTCATTTTGGGGTGGGAAAGTCTCTGGAGAAGGATTTCTCAGGGCTTATGCTCTGGGGCTTGGGATCTTGGGGGGGGGGATCTGTGGGGGGAAACCCATCCATTTCCCCCATGCGAAGACCAATCTCTCTTCATCCAGCCCCACCTCAGAGTCACCTTCTGATTCCACGTATGAGGGAAGTCAGTGGGTTCTTTGCCCAGGGAGTTTGGAGGCTGCATGGGCGCATTGCTGCCCCCTAGTGGGAGGCAAGGGATAGGGTGTGTTTTGGGGGGCCTTTTCCCGCAAGGCCTTGAGTTTAGGTGCCCACCCCGATGGAGAACATCTGGCTCCTTCCCCTTCTCCATCACCGCCCTTCTCCTGTCCTTTCCCCGCCATTCTCTGCCCATCTGCTCCAGGGGGGTGGGTCCTAAGTCTCCAATTGGGCCTGTCGGTAGCAAATCCAGAGCAGCCAGGCTCCTCTCCTGGCTGGCACTCCATGGACGTTTTCCTTCCCCAGGTACCTCTGAAGCCCCATCCCTGTCTATGCAGCCCGAGAAGCCGGAGTACCTCCCCGGAGACATTGTGGAGATGACATGCACCGCTCCCACTTCGGTGGCTGGAATCCAAGGCTTCCAGTTCAACAACGGTATTGGGAAGTCTATCTCAGTCACCGCTTCCTCCACGACAAGTGAGACCTACAACCTGAGCCTCGCGGGGTCTCAGGACGGGGGGTTGTACCATTGCAGATACTCGCTGATGCAAGGTGGTTCTCAGATCACATCCAGCTGGAGCAATAAGATCCCCATCAGAGCGAGAGGTGAGCTCGGTGAACCCTTCCAAGGCACATAAACACATAGGCAAACAAAAATATGACAAGGAAGGAGCCAGCAACACAGTCCCCCTAGAAGACTGCCCCACACCACTGATTTCTCGGTTAATACAGCCACCCAATACGGTAAACCAAATGCCAGGAACATGGCTGCTCCATTACAAACATGGCTACCAGCGTGGTCACCCAACAGCCAGTCTCTTGTGATCCACCATGCCTACACAATGGCCAACAACGTGTCACTCAACAGGCTTAGCCAATGGCCAACAACATGTCACTCAATTTGCCTGCTCATGACACTCATCATGCCCACTCAATGGCCAGCAACATAACACTCAACATGCCTACCCAATGGCCAACAACATGTCACTCAATTTGCCTGCTCATGCGACTCAACATGCCTACTCAGTGGCCAACAGCATGACACTCAATGAGCCTACTCATTGGCCAACATCATGGCATTCAACATGCCTACCAAATGGCCAACCTTATGTCGCTCAACATGACTACTTGTTGGCCAACATTATGTCGCTCAACATGCCTACTCGTTGGCCAACAATATGACACGGAACATGCCTAATCATTGCCCAACAACATGACACTGAACATTCCTAATCATTGGCCAACAACATGACATTCAACATGCTCACGCAATGGCCAACATCACGGCACTCAGTGTGCCCACACAATGGCCAGCAACATGCCTACAAAACTTCATAGCACTCAATATGCTACAGCATGGTGAACAAAACAGCACTACTGCCCAGACAATAGTCAACAACGTGGCACTCAAAGCGCCTACTCAGTTGCTCAAAGCTTAGCACCCAATATCCCTACTTGTCTGCCAACAAAATGGCAAAACACCAGGTGGACCCCTGCCCCCCGCCGAGAGCAACTGGGTGTCTTCACTCCTAGAAACAGGTTGCCCAATGTGGAAATTAATGTCTAGGAACACTTGCTTGGTAGCAAGCCTAGACTCTCACTTCTAGCTACACAAAAGTCCTCATGTAGGAAGGCCTGAGGTACAAGATGAAACTTTATCCGTGTTGAGTTTCGGGCAACCTCTCTGCTTTCTCCCCATCTCCTCCCCCTCCTGACTCATGCTCAGATTACCCTCCCTGGCCGGTGCTGACTGTGGATCCTCCATTTGGAGTGGTGAGAGACGGGCTCCCGCTGATTATCACCTGCACGGCCCCGGACAATCTTGGAGAACGGCGGTTTCACTTCTATAAGGACGGAGGCAATTTCTCCCTTGAGGACATGGGGCTGGAAGGCAACGCAGCAGAGACAAGGGCCAGCTCTCAGAAGCTCAACATCCCCCAGGCTGGTCCCGACAGCGCCGGGGAATTCGCCTGCGCGTACGAAGAGAACATGAACGGGAGGTGGCTTCTGTCCTCCAGGAGCTTGGCTGTGAACGTGACTATGACAGGTGACCAAACACACACTTACGCACAGAGCTGGGCTCCTCCCCTCCAGCAGGGGGCAGTGGAGACATCAGGGTGCTATTTTGTATCAATTTGCCTCTTTTTACAGAGCGCAGCAATTTCTGGGTCTGGCACCTGGCTTTGTGTGGATTCTTCTTCGCCATGAACATCCTCCTCTTCCTCCTCTTCCACCTCTACATGATGAGGGAAGGTAATTGTCTCATTCTGGGGTAGAGGCACATTTCCCTCTCCTCCCTTCCTCAGTTTCCCCAGAACGTTGGAGGAGCCCAGATATTTCTCTGCCCAAGTCTCCCCTGGGAAAATGGCCATTGCTGAAAGTAACTCTGAGCTGCCTACCAGCTCCGTAGCTTCCCCTCCAACTCCTCTGTCCCACCTCATGAAATGCAGCTGTCTCTGGGGAGATGCAGCCAGGTAACTTCCACCCAGTCATACTGCCTAGGCATCTGCCAGGCTAAAAGGCAACTCTTTTGGGGGTGGGGAGTGGCAACCACAGTCCAGCACCCCCTGCTGGGTCCCCGTCCCACTCCCTGCAGCCCAGCGCCCTCTGCTGGGTCCCCACTCCACTCCATGCAGCCCAGCACCCCCTGCTGGGCCCCCACTCCACTCCCTGCAGCCCAGCCCCCCCTGCTGGGCTCCCACCCCACTCCATGCAGCCCAGTGCCCCCTGCTGGGACCCCCACTCTGCTCCATGCAGCCCAGCACCCCCTGCTGGGTCCCCGTCCCACTCCATGCATCCCAGTACCCCCTGCTGGGTCCCCATCCCACTCCATGCAGCACAGTACCCCCTGCTGGGCCTACACCCACTCCCTGCATCCCAGTACCCCCTGCTGGGTCCCCATCCCACTCCATGCAGCACAGTACCCCCTGCTGGGCTCCCACTCTGCTCCATGCAGCACAGCACCCCCTCCTGGGCCTACACCCACTCCCTGCAGCCCAGTGCCCCCTGCTGGGCCCCCACTTCGCTCCATGCATCCCAGTACCCCCTGCTGGGTCCCCGAGGAGCCCAGGGTCAGCTGGGGACTCCCCAGCTGATCCCGAGCTCCAGCACGGCATTCCCGGAGAACCCAGGATCAGGTGGGGAGTCTCCAGCTGACCCCGGCTCCGCAAAGCATTTCAAATCAGCAGCGCAGAATGCATTTCGGGTCCCGCTGGGGACTCTTGTACATTTGAAAGGAGGAACGCGGAAGTGCCTATCGACTAATTGAGCAGTCCATGGAAATTACATCAACTACGTGTCTAGTCAATTAACTGCAATGTAACATCCTTAATACAGATCCCCCCCTGCCACCTATAGAGACACTGCCTCAGGCGTCCCCCGCCCTTCAGGGAACAGACAGTCAAGCCGCAGTTCACAGAGGATCCTTTATTGCTACACTACACTCCGCGCTGGCTGCGGGGGCACCTGCTGGTTGGGGCAGCAGCCTGGATCCTTCCAGCAGCTGGAATGGGTCGCATGATGCCCAGCAGGGTTGAGGAAGGGCCCCTCCAAGCCAGGCAGGGGGTCATGTGGAGAAGACACGGGGTGGCCCGAGCAGGGAGCCTGGCTGTGGTGCTTGGTGGGGATGGGCCTCGGGAGGGGGCTCAGGTAGGGTGGGGGCAGAGATCTGAGGTTTGCAAACGAGGCACATGACTCCTGAGCTGGAGGCTTACAGCCAGCAGTCGCTGCTGCTCTCGGTGGGGACCCCCGTCACCTTGAAATCATTCACTTGGAAGACCCAGCGCCCTGGAACCCCGACGTTGCTCGTCTGCCCGATGCGGAGGACAGCCTCCGTGCGGGAACCCGGGATGTTGTAGAAGTTTTTGTTGTCACCGCTGTTGAACCCGGCCTGACGGCGGAGACACGGGGAGCAAATGAAGTTAGTGCACTTGCCTGTCACTGGGGTAGTGGGGGCAGCACTGACTGAGCAGAGTCCCCATATCTTTCCATGTAGCCCAGCGCCCCATCTGAGTCCCACCCCACTCCCTGCAGCCCAGCGCCCCCTGCTGGGTCCCCGTCCCACTCCCTGCAGCCCAGCACCCCCTGCTGGGTTCCCTCCCGACTCCCTGCAGCCCAGCTTCCCCTGCTGACCCTCCCATTCCCTGTGGCCCAGCGCCCCCTGCTGGGTCCCCTTCCCCAATGTGGCTGTTTTTGCGACCGTCCTCACGTGCTTCCCTCTACAGGTCACAAGCCCACACAGGGCTCGGCTTGAGGCCAAGGGGAGTATTGCTCGGTCCCATTTCAGTTGGTCGCCGATCAGCCCAGACAGTCTGGCCCCGCCACGGCGAGCGAGGCCTCCAGCCCCACGCTCCTACCCCGCCGAGACGACGAATACGAGAAACAGATGTGATGGCTCATCTCCTGACGGGGCCTGTTGAAAGAAAGAAATTTCATTCGCATTCATCCCGAGGTCTTTCCTTCCCTATGTATATTCCAGGCTGCGTGTATCCCTGTAAATGGCCCCTCTCCAGCTTGTCATGACACCCCGCTGGCCTCTGAGTTTGGGTTCCTTCACTGTGGTTACTTTCTCCTCCCCATGGTGTGTGTCATGGGCCCCGCATTGCTGCCGCAAACAGGGCGATTCCCCTTCGAACCACAAGTGGCAACTCCTTCCCCTGTGGCACTAGGCTGAGGTTGGTGGTTACCATCAATCACCGAGCTGCTTGCTGGAGCGGAGAACAGCCCCTTGGCCGCGACGCTGGAGGATCATGGAGGCAGCGACAGCGGTCGGGGGCCTGTTACTGCCTCAGAGGTATTATCATCTGTGTCGGATACGTGTTCAGCTGGGACATACGTGGGGCAGCTGGCATTTCCGTGGCGTCTCTGGTCCATACCCGGAGCTGAGAGGGGAGTAGAGTCTAGTGGTTAGAAGAGAGGAGGGGGGTCTTACATTTTCTCCACAGCTCTAGAAGGGAAGGGATGTCTAATGGTTAGATCATGCTCAGGGACATGTGCCGAGGCTTCCCAAGCAGAGCTGGGTTTATTGCTCCCCGAGGGAGGGGTGAGAAGAGGGGGAAACCTTTGCTCGGAGAGTCTGCTCAGCTTCCTTCCCACCAAGGAGCCATGCAGTGGGGAAACTGAGGCACGGGTTGGCTTCAGAACCAATGCCACAGCCAGCGCCTGTTGATGAGAGGAGCCGTTGCAGAAGGCACCTCGTCACAGCCGTGGTGTGTGTGTGTGTGGGGGGGGCGGTGCGTCTGTGGTCGTGTGGCTGGATTTCCTGAGCACAAAGCCCTACTCGGCCGCACAGAGGGAAGGGCTGGTCGGTCTAATGGGTGGAGACGAGGCTGGTGGCTGAGGGGAGAACTCAGGCCTCAGCCCAGAGGAAGCCACTTAGCAGAACGCTAAGTGCTGGTCCCACTAGCCCAGTGTCCTGTCTGAGACAGCGGCCAACGCCCAGCGCTCCAGAGGGAGGGAACCGGACAGGGAATGATCAAGCGATCTCTCTCCTGCCATCCATCTCCATCCTCTGACACACAGAGGCCAGGGACCCCATTCCTTACCCGTCCTGGCTAATAGCCATTGACGGACCTAACCTCTCTGAATGTATCTAGTTCTCTTTTAAACCCTGTTATAGTCCAAGCCTTCCCAACCTCCTCCGGCGAGGAGTTCCACAGCTTGACTGTGTGCCGTGTGAAGAAGCACTTCCTTTTCTTTGTTTTAACCCTGCTGCCCATTAGTTTCCTGTGGTGGCGCCTAGTTCTTGTATGATGGGAACAAGTAAATAACGTCTCCTTATTCACTTTCTCCACACCACTCACGATTTTATAGACCTCCATCCTATCCCCTCTTAGTCTCCTCTTTTCCAAGCTGATAGAGATTGCACAACCCCCCTGGGCAATTTATTCCAGTGTTTCACCACCCTGACAGGCAGGAAGTTTTTCCTAATGTCCAACCTCAACTTCCCTTGCTGCAGTCTAAGCCCATTGCTTCTTGTCCGATCATGAGAGGCCAAGGGGAACAATTTTTCTCCCTTCCGCTTGTGACACCCTTTTAGATACTTGAAAACCGCTCTCCTGTTCCCTCTCCGTCTTCTCCTTTCCAAACGAAACAAGCCCAGTTGTCTCAGTCTAACTTCCTAGTTTATGTGAAACAAAAGACAGGACGATGCAGCACTTTAAAGGCTAACAAGGTGGTTTATTAGGGGATGAGCTTTCATGCGCCAGACCCACTTCCTCAGATCAAATAGTGGAAAAAAATTGTCACAACCATAGATACCAAAGTGACACAATCAAAAAAAGTGAACACATATAAAGTTGACAAATCAGATTTTAGAACGGGGGGGGGGGGGGGGGGGGGCCGGGGGGGAGGTGGGGAGTCTCCAGCTGACCCCGGCTCCGCAAAGCATTTCAAATCAGCAGCGCAGAATGCATTTCGGGTCCCGCTGGGGACTCTTGTACATTTGAAAGGAGGAACGCGGAAGTGCCTATCGACTAATTGAGCAGTCCATGGAAATTACATCAACTACGTGTCTAGTCAATTAACTGCAATGTAACATCCTTAATACAGATCCCCCCCTGCCACCTATAGAGACACTGCCTCAGGCGTCCCCCGCCCTTCAGGGAACAGACAGTCAAGCCGCAGTTCACAGAGGATCCTTTATTGCTACACTACACTCCGCGCTGGCTGCGGGGGCACCTGCTGGTTGGGGCAGCAGCCTGGATCCTTCCAGCAGCTGGAATGGGTCGCATGATGCCCAGCAGGGTTGAGGAAGGGCCCCTCCAAGCCAGGCAGGGGGTCATGTGGAGAAGACACGGGGTGGCCCGAGCAGGGAGCCTGGCTGTGGTGCTTGGTGGGGATGGGCCTCGGGAGGGGGCTCAGGTAGGGTGGGGGCAGAGATCTGAGGTTTGCAAACGAGGCACATGACTCCTGAGCTGGAGGCTTACAGCCAGCAGTCGCTGCTGCTCTCGGTGGGGACCCCCGTCACCTTGAAATCATTCACTTGGAAGACCCAGCGCCCTGGAACCCCGACGTTGCTCGTCTGCCCGATGCGGAGGACAGCCTCCGTGCGGGAACCCGGGATGTTGTAGAAGTTTTTGTTGTCACCGCTGTTGAACCCGGCCTGACGGCGGAGACACGGGGAGCAAATGAAGTTAGTGCACTTGCCTGTCACTGGGGTAGTGGGGGCAGCACTGACTGAGCAGAGTCCCCATATCTTTCCATGTAGCCCAGCGCCCCATCTGAGTCCCACCCCACTCCCTGCAGCCCAGCGCCCCCTGCTGGGTCCCCGTCCCACTCCCTGCAGCCCAGCACCCCCTGCTGGGTTCCCTCCCGACTCCCTGCAGCCCAGCTTCCCCTGCTGACCCTCCCATTCCCTGTGGCCCAGCGCCCCCTGCTGGGTCCCCTTCCCCAATGTGGCTGTTTTTGCGACCGTCCTCACGTGCTTCCCTCTACAGGTCACAAGCCCACACAGGGCTCGGCTTGAGGCCAAGGGGAGTATTGCTCGGTCCCATTTCAGTTGGTCGCCGATCAGCCCAGACAGTCTGGCCCCGCCACGGCGAGCGAGGCCTCCAGCCCCACGCTCCTACCCCGCCGAGACGACGAATACGAGAAACAGATGTGATGGCTCATCTCCTGACGGGGCCTGTTGAAAGAAAGAAATTTCATTCGCATTCATCCCGAGGTCTTTCCTTCCCTATGTATATTCCAGGCTGCGTGTATCCCTGTAAATGGCCCCTCTCCAGCTTGTCATGACACCCCGCTGGCCTCTGAGTTTGGGTTCCTTCACTGTGGTTACTTTCTCCTCCCCATGGTGTGTGTCATGGGCCCCGCATTGCTGCCGCAAACAGGGCGATTCCCCTTCGAACCACAAGTGGCAACTCCTTCCCCTGTGGCACTAGGCTGAGGTTGGTGGTTACCATCAATCACCGAGCTGCTTGCTGGAGCGGAGAACAGCCCCTTGGCCGCGACGCTGGAGGATCATGGAGGCAGCGACAGCGGTCGGGGGCCTGTTACTGCCTCAGAGGTATTATCATCTGTGTCGGATACGTGTTCAGCTGGGACATACGTGGGGCAGCTGGCATTTCCGTGGCGTCTCTGGTCCATACCCGGAGCTGAGAGGGGAGTAGAGTCTAGTGGTTAGAAGAGAGGAGGGGGGTCTTACATTTTCTCCACAGCTCTAGAAGGGAAGGGATGTCTAATGGTTAGATCATGCTCAGGGACATGTGCCGAGGCTTCCCAAGCAGAGCTGGGTTTATTGCTCCCCGAGGGAGGGGTGAGAAGAGGGGGAAACCTTTGCTCGGAGAGTCTGCTCAGCTTCCTTCCCACCAAGGAGCCATGCAGTGGGGAAACTGAGGCACGGGTTGGCTTCAGAACCAATGCCACAGCCAGCGCCTGTTGATGAGAGGAGCCGTTGCAGAAGGCACCTCGTCACAGCCGTGGTGTGTGTGTGTGGGGGGGGGGCGGTGCGTCTGTGGTCGTGTGGCTGGATTTCCTGAGCACAAAGCCCTACTCGGCCGCACAGAGGGAAGGGCTGGTCGGTCTAATGGGTGGAGACGAGGGCGGGGGGG